AAAACTAATTTTCTGACGGTTAGAACAGTTAATCAATGGAACAACTTGTCTCCAGAAATTGTGGGTATTCCAGCACTGGAGGTTTTAAGAAACGATTGGACACCCATTTGTCTGAAATGGTATAGGATTTGCTGCTTGAACAGGAAGTTGAACTAGAAGACCTCTAAGGTCCCTTCCAACTCTGTTATTCTGTCTCAGGGTCATGTGATCACCTTTTGCCACCTTCTGACAAGCTAAGTCAATGGGGAAGCCAGATTCATTTAACAACCATGTTACTAACTTATCAACTGCAGAGATTCCCTTAATAACTGTGGCAAGAAAGGTCTTTTATCGCTAATATTTTGAGGAAACATGGGAGTGGCAAAATATGTTTGCACCAAAGGCAGACAGAATGGTGACTTAACCACCGGGCCAAGCTGGAGAGCCAGTTTAGTGTAGTGGTTAAGGCACGATGCTAGAAAGCAGGAGACTGTGAGTTCAAGTCTCACCTTAGCTATGGAAAACCCAACTGGGTAACTTTGGGCCAATCATTCTCTCTCAGCCCAACCCACCTCACAGGGTTGTTGCTTTGGGGAAAATAGGAGGAAGAAGATGTGTTGGGTGTTTGTCGCCTTGAGTTATTTGTAAAAAATAATAAAAGTGGGATGCAAACAAACAATAAGGCTCACAAATAAAAATTGGACCTAGTCAGAGAGATGGGATTGGGATGACACCAGGTGTGAAACTATACTTAAACTATTAGAAGTATAGCACCCGAGGCCTTACCAGATAATGAATTTCTCCTTGAGGGGGAAAGGATGCTGAGGGACAGATCAGAATTAGGATTTACTTGGTTGAGGCGGCTTTTAATTATGTTGTTACCCACTTCTTTTGTATCAGCCTTCAACATGTCACGGACATCTTATTGCAATGTCAGTTAAGTAAATGCAGAGTGTTAAAATGAAAACCAAATGTTGTCAGTGCCAGTTTATGGAAGCCACACTGAAATGTCACTCAGAAAAATGTCATGACAGCTTTTCTGTGTCCATTTTACAATACTGGGAACAAGTGCAGTGATGTCAGGGTATGTTACTAAAGAGGGGATAATTAACATGTCTTGTGGGTATATACAAGTGCAGACATCTGTGTAAACAAACAAAAAAAATTCACACAGGTCAAATTCTGAAGCAGGATGAAAAGCAGAAGTAAAAACGTAAGTCACGGTCACGTAAATTTTTTCACTTGGTGACTATCTTGCTTCATGTTAAGAATCAAAGTAAGACTACAAGTTCACTTGCGGTCGCATGATTTTTCCTCTTAGTGATGGCATTTCTTAGCGGCTGCCCAAATTCCTGCTCCCAACTGTGGTGCTAAGTGAGGACCTACCTATAGAAAATTATAAAGCACCACTAAATGCACATTCATACTAACCCAAATTACAATTAAAAAATTACCCATTACAAATGTGGTCCTGATTCATTCTACCTGTCCCAAGTTCACTGGAATCAAATGACCCTCACAATCTTGTGGCATACAAGCAGAATGGGGACTTCTACCATCTCAGGGGAACAAGATATTCTGCAGCATGGGGGCTGACATATCTCTGGGGTGTCATGTTGTTATCCTTATAGGGGGAGGAGACCATGAGCAATTGGGTTGAATGCACAGATGGGGCAGGTTCGGTCTCATGAGACAAGCCTGGAAATACTGTAAGCTTGATGTCAAGCCTTATAACATTTTATAAAAATGCTAGAGAACCAACCCATGACCTGTTGGGTGATCATTCCAGAGATATTTCCTCACCTAGACAGACAATCAGAATGACCAAGGTAGGCAAAATATCAGCGGGAGTGGGAGGGTCTTACCATTGACTTTCCTTGTAGGAAGGTGGGAGGGATCATTGGATGATCATGTGACTGCGGCTGATCACAGCAGCATGTGGTGCAATAACATTAAAGCCAAATTTCAATC